CCCCAAAACCCCAAAACCCCAAAACCCCAAAACCCCAATTATGACCGCGGCTATTGAATCATCTGCTTAAATATTCAAAAATTTAACTATCTTGCCAGTATACAGCATTGATGAGAAGGTGGCAGCAAACGGAACAAAGAAACCCTTGACAAAGAGCAGGACTGGAATTGGAGATGTCTTTGGGATAAAGATTGATGGCACACTCAGAATAACAACAAAGGCAATATTGATCAGCACACGAATCACTGTTTTAAATACAGTTTTAGGCTTTGTAAACTTACTTCCGTCTTTAAATTTGAGAACCCATCTTCTGAAGTAACATCCAAAATAAGCTCCGAGGCTTCCAAAAGTCACAAGATATTTGTTGAGGCAAGAGTAATGAAAGCTTATAAAGTGCTTACTTGGAGGGCATGACTTTTTGACAGTATCCAACCAATACTGAGGTGCAGGATCAAATCTTTCAATGTACAAATATAATAACGTAGCAAATATTACCATTAGGAAAAGTAGAACGATATATCTATTAAACAATCTTGTCTTACCAGTTTCGATTCCTTCATATAATTTATCGAAATATTCTACGAGAATGTGAACGAAGAGGATGTGGATCATAAGTCCAAGACCAAATCCAAGCAATAGTTGTTCAGCAGTGTGTAATCCCACAAAGATTCTAGTGAAGCACATGAAAACACAGTAGGAATATCCCACTACATAAAGAGTTAACTTCTTATTCTGGAGTCCATATTGCCTTACCAAAAGAGTTATGAACGAAAGATAGAAGGTTGTTACACTCTGTCCGTGCCCAGAAGGAGACCCATACTCAAAATCACAACTCACTGGTTGATAATCCGGAGAGTAGAAGTAAGGTCTTGCATCCCTGATCAGCATTTTGACTAAAAGGTTGACTGCTACACCAAATGAGGATACACCAATAAGCATAAGGTAATTATTCATATTCAAAACTGCTAATGCACATCATAGTGCTAGGAAAATTCCGTACTTGTCTCCCATCGCACTGATCAAATCCATTAACTTATCCAAGTTCTTCTGACTGTAATCTTTCCTTATAGTAATTATAACCTCTAAAGAGTTAGATCTGAGCCATTCAAACACAGAAGGAACCATGAGAATCATTGTCAAAAGAGAGATAACCACTAGGGCTATGTATAGTCCTGCTTTTGATGCTGGAGGTTGGGCTATAGCCCCATTGCTCACACTTTTAGCCATTTTGCTTATTAATTTATAACCATTTCAAACACACTCTAAACTGGGGTTTTGGGGTTTTGGGGTTTTGGGGTTTTGGGGTTTTGGGGTTTTGGGG